TTTTCTTCTAACTTATTATGACTAAAAAGTTTCATAAGAATATATATTTATAATTTGGGTAAAAAAACAAACATAAATATACAATTTAAACACATAAATTATCCCTATATAAATTTCTTCATGATAAATTTATTTTAATCTTATTATATTTTTATACGAGATTTTTATGTTTACTCATATATGAAAAATAATTCACTATAAATCATTAATTTTTTAAATTGATCGTCAAGCATCCATATTTTTTTTTAAAAAAAAAGTAATATTTCCTTTTTTTTTTTACGTGGGAAATTTAGAAATTTTCAAAAACATTAAGGGCATTTTCGGCAATACAATCTGATATAGATCTCGGCATAGATACGGTTCACCAAAAGGAGCCATCTTGCATTATTAATTTCAAAAACCACAATTTCCCTTTCACATTATTAAATACACACCTTTGTCCAAATTTTTTTAAAAAAATTATATTTATTGTTATTAAAATATAAATAGGACAAATACATTAAAACAAAGAGTACATAATAATATTAATAATTTAAACAATAACCAATATGGTTTGTGGTGCACTACTAGAACTGCTTCACCCTTAATCAGAAGTTTCAGATTTTAGCCATGGATATGAAGAAAATCTTGTTAGGAGCGCCACTCCAAATGAATCCTACATAATATAATTTAAATTTTGTCGAAGCTCTAATATGGACTCCGAACATTTATCGTAAAACTAAACAAAGAAAAAGAATAATTTATTTTTCATTAGAAAAATCTAGAAAAAATAGAGACTCGTGAACAAACTATTAACCAACCATGTCATTTTCACCAATCTTTTTCTACTTATAAATACGATCCCCATACCTTATGAATGTCCCAACTAAACACACAAAAAAACACAAATTTTCTGTTCAAAATTACTAGTTTTTTTAATTATATATTTCTGTTATTATCAGAAATGGAGCAGAAACAAGGCAAAATCATCAATAATTATAACAATTTGGAAGATGGAGTTGTTATAATTCATAGCCAAGTTCGAAAAATAAGACAAGAAATGGAGAAAATTAGGTATCCAGCTCTACAACAACCGGAGTTCACCGGAAAACAGCAGCAGCAACGATCCAGATCGCCGCTTGGATTAGCTCATAGGCCTATTTCTGTTGGAAGTTAATTCTACTTTTAATTTCCACTAAATCGAAGGTCGTGATGAGATAGATTACGATTCATCCACCTTTAATCAGAAGTTTCGAATCTCGAGAATTCAATAGTTTTTTTCTTCTGCTTTAGATTTGTATATATACAGAGATGCAGATCCCCTGTTTCTCTGTTTTCAGATTTTGCAGTAATAGATTATGTTTCGTAATTTAATTGGTGTGTTTCTATGACTCGATTAATCTGAATTTATATCTAAAAGTTTTATTTTAGATCTAAAGAAAGGTTTTTGTTATTATTTAGATTTGATTAATCTAAATTCATATAAATAGTAATGACTAAAATTTGAAAGTCATTTATGACTGCTTGTTTCTTTGCTGGCTTTGTGTACATATTTTTGTCAAAAAACATGAAATAGTCAATAATTATTTCTTTTTTAAACTATGTATATTGTTGAAAATAAAAGAAAATAAATTATTATCTACATTAAAATTAATGTAATTTGTTGGTATAAAATTTCTCAAAATGTATATAAGAAACTCTTTTCAATTTTTATATTCCAATTGTTATAAAGTATTGATGCCTCTAAAATGATTTCGATATATTTTCTTTTTTTGTAGGCAAAATAATGTCGGCTTGTAACAAGAAATTATTAGGATACCGTTTTAAATTAATTAGAGTTAATTTGGAAAAATGTCAAGGATGATTGTAGTTTTATGTGATCTAATGATTAAGATGTTTTCGTTGTTTAACTTTGAAGATGAGTGTCTTGAAAAATATTTTGATTTTGGTCGAATTTGTTGTTGCGATACTAAATTTTCATGAAAATCTATTACTCCTTTAACTATTTAATAGTGTTTTTTTATCCTTGAACTATTTAATAGTGTATTTTAAAGATATATATATGTGCCCACGTGGACACATTATTATTTATAAATTCATGTGTGCAAATATATATTTTTAAAATACGGTATCAAATAGTCCAAGGAAGTAATAGATTCTTATAAAAATTTAGTATTGCAACAACAAATTTGATTAAAGTTAAAATATTTTTCAGATTCTTATTACTATTTAATATAATAATACAAGTGAGAACGAAAAAAGATATGATAGTTATCAGTTGTTAAGACTTAAAAGACATTAATTAACGAATAATGACCTTTTAAATTTGAATACTAGAGAGTATAGAAGAAGATCAAATATTCAAAATAACATTCATCTTTCAAATTTTGAATATTAGAGACAAAATATTCATTTGGTGAAAAGTATGTTGAGTGGGAGAAACGTTATTTTTAATTTTCAACTTTTAAAATTTGTAAATTAGTGGGGATGGAATTCAAAAAATCTAATGTATGAGGTTCTTTCCACATTTTTTTTAAAAAATAAAATAAAATAAAATAAAAATTTCTCTTTTATTTTTTTTTGGGGTGTGGTTGAGCCAACTCATTGTCATGGGGTCACAAAATTAAAGTTTTTATAAATCATAAATAAAAAATTAATCATGATTAAACGGCTAGTTGGTTATACATTACAAATAAAGAAAATGTTCTTAATTATTGAAGTCGACTAAATTTGAATGTATTGTTATAAAGATTCATTTATGAAGATTATGTTTTAATTAAGAATGAAAACATTTTAAGTCCCTATCATCTCACGACAATTGATATTAATAAATATAGAAAATTTTTGGGAAAAAGGTTTGAAATATATTCGATTAAAATTGTTATAATAATATCGAATATTGCACTCATTAAGTTTGGTGTTATAACAACAATTTCGACTCAAGTTAAAATATTTTTCAGATCCTGTTTTCAAAATTTTATTGCAAAATGCTATATTAAGAATAAAAGCAATTTAAGTTCCCACCATCATACTCCCTCCGTCCCTATTTACTCGTCAATATTTTCTCTTTTAGATGTCCTTATTTGCTTGTTCATTTTGACAAATCAAGAAAAGATAATTTTTTTCCTATTATACCCTCAGTTAAACTTCTCGAAAATTTTTAAGTTTTAATTCATCCTTTTTGAAACCATATGTAATAAGGATAAAATAATAACTTGACTATGTTAATTATTGTTATCTTAATATGTGTGCCTTTTCTAAAATTGACAACTAAACAGAGACAGAAAAAATACTGTACAACTGATATCGGTAAATATTCAAAACGCTATAAGTTTTTGTTAGATAGTATGACTATTCAAATGGCAAAAAATATGAGCTAACAAGGATTCATTAGAGTAGACTAGATTATATCAAAAGGATATCGTAACTAAACTCTAACTAATTCCTCAATTTAGTTAGATTATATATTTTATAGGTGGTAATCCAATTTTGTATTCGTTACCTAAAAGTATTTAAAATTATAATTTCAATGTCTACAAGCTTATTAAAATATTTCAAATAAGTCTAAAAACACTCATTTCAAATATTTAAAATTTGAAATGAGTTAGACTAATTCCTCAATTTAGTTAGATTATATATTTTATAGGTGGTAATCCAATTTTGTATTCGTTACCTAAAAGTATTTAAAATTTGATTTTTTTGAGAGATTTGAAATGAGTGTTTTTAGACTTATTTGAAATATTTTAATAAGCTTGTAGACATTGAAATTATAATTTTGTAGGAATCTATAAGATGTGTTCAACTTAGAATTTTTGGAGGTTATTCAATCTTAAACCATAATTTACGCCTATATAAAGTGTATAAAATTCTCTTAAAACGCATCTAAAATATCCCATAAACTCTTGGATATTATGTCCATCAAGCCCAAATAATACTAGTTTGAGAAATACTAGGTAAATCAAGTCCAAATCATTTTAAGTTAAGAAATACGTCAAAAACGATCCTCGAATAATGGATAAGTATCTTATGAGCGAAGAATCAAGAGAGGACAGAATTATACCTGCATTGAGTTATTAATTAAATATTTATATTTCTTCAAATTTTATTTGTATGATTCATTTATTTTTCAATAAAATTCGTTACAAATTACTTAACAAAATTTGAGATCATTTCATAAAATTTTGGATTTAGTTTTCAATGACAATTGCATCTGAAATCGTAGTAAGTTTTTCTGTCACTATACATATTTTTATACATTGTTATGCACGTAATATAAGGTTAATATATATATGTTTACACATTTTATATATATATAAAAAACAAGATGGATACATGATTCATAGTATATGAATATATAAAACATATTGTATATATAATAATAATAATGTATATAGGATATATACATTTATTGCAAAACAATTTATTAGTTATATAAAATGTGTATGTTGGGCGCTGTATATTTTCTTTCAAGCTTCTTGATTCACATCTTGAAGTATTATGTATATGCTCATAAGTTGACTTTCTTTTAGACATGGGGTTCATGATTCGAATAAAATTGAAAAAAAAAGAGTGATATGTGAAGCGGTTTGAACTGAATTTAGATATATTAAGATGATAAATAGATAAGTTATATTGATCTGCTCAAAAGTTATTTGCATTGAAATTTTATCATTTATTACTCCTAAAAATATTGTAAAATTTATTCTATTGTATCTTTTTTGTATAGTTTTTTTATATTTGATTTTTTTTTTAAAATATCGAATTAATATAATCTAAATTTGACTTTCAAAAAACGTAACATGACAATTAAAAGTGAACGGAAATCGTATAATATTGCAATTATATATAAGGAACTATTTAATGTGTTTCTTTTAGAAAGCTTTGGGATCATTTTCATATGTAACCTTAGTAAATGAGTCTAAATACATAGCCTCAATTAACTGAGGAAAAAAAAAGAAAAGAAATAAAAATGGAATCTCATAAATGTTTTTACCAATTGAAAATAATTAGAAATGTCAATATGAAAACGAAAATTTAAAACCATGTATATATCTCCCCAATTACCATCAAACACAATAATATTCATAAAATGGAATTTCAGTAATTTACTAACAATTCTTTAAAATCCTCTAAATTCCATTTGCTCACAAGTACTACATATAAAAAAATTCTAAAAACAATAAATTAAAAATAAAAGAGACACTATTAAAAAATTGCTAATTTTCGACGAACATTCAAGATTTGACTAATCAATCATGAATTTCATTGAAATTAGCAATTTTCCGACAATGAGAACAACTATTCATCCTCCATTATCCTTTCTTTCTTTTTTCTATATAGAGTTTGAAATTCTACTTCTCGATTCAAACACACGAAATTAAAAGAACACATAAAAGTACCTAATCAAATTTACACAATCCTAACATCCTTTTACGTCAAATCGAGAACCTTTTGCCATCATAATCTTAAACTCCTCGAAATTGATCATCCCATCACCATCACAATCAACACCACTAATCATTTTTCGACACTCCGCCAAGTTGCAATCCTCTCCAAGGCTTTGGAGAACGGTTAGCAACTCCTCGGCGGAGATGGACCCATTCTTATCCATATCGAACACCGAAAATGCATCCTTAAGGCTCTCAAGTACCTTAAAAATAAAAAAAACGTAAAAATTTAAGTCTGACTTGTCTTAAATAATTTGATAATAATAATAATAATAATAATAATACGATTAAATATTTTTTAAAAATAAACATATACCTCATTAGAATCGATATCCTTAGTATTAAGCTCGATAAATTCTTGCAAGTCAATGAACCCATCCCCATCCGAATCCACTTCACGTATCATGTTGACCAACTCCTCCTCCGTGGCACGGTTCCCGAGGCTAGCCATGATGAACCCTAATTCTGATGAACATATCTTTCCATCACCATTTACGTCGAATTTCTTGAACACCTGTTCTAGTTCCTCCTCGATCCTTGCACGTGAATCTATCGAGGATACCCTCGATAAATTCACAGACATTGGATTATCGTTGACAACGAATGGGTTTCCACTAGGGACATCTTTTTTCTTGATTTTGAACAAAGATTTCAACCCCATATCGTCAAGCTATACTCAACAAATCGATGAATGAACGAACGAACGAATAAAATTAGAAAACCTTAATAGAAAATGTGATTATAATTTTTGGTAAGAAGATTAGATAGAGATTAGAAAGAGATAATTAAGGATCTTGTTTAAAGAATACTTCAAATTTATTTTTGTTTTTTTTTTGAGATATTTAAGGAATACAAATGATTTTGTTGGTTGTTTTTTTTTAGGTAAATTAAGAAAATTTTATTATTACGTGCATGCACGTTAAGGACTGATTTTTATGAATTAGTTGTGATTTTGAAAAGGCTAAATGACAAGTGGAATATTTATAAACTATTTTAAGGAAAATATTTATATTTTTGGATTATACTTACTATTTTAATAGCTAATGATTTTTATAGTGATTTACTACTTATGTTGAATACATTAACTCCACATGTTTGACCAAACTTCTAGAAGATTAATTTTTTTTAAAAAAAAAAGCGAAAAAAGTGGTTAATTATATTTCAGAGTAATAATTAAGGTGTTTGAAAATAAATATTTATAATTATAGTATAAGTTATTTTTTCAGAAAAGGAAAAAATAGGATTCCTCTCAAATTTATTTTTGTCTTGGTGAATTGATGCTATAGTATTAGAAGGAATGTTCTCAAATTGCTTAATTAAAAACAAATTATAACTCTTTAAAAGTAGTTTTCTAAAATTTACTTTGGACTACAATTAAAAAAATACTTTTTTTTAAAAAAATAAGTAAGTTTTGGAAGTTTGACCAGATAAAGAAATTTATCTAAAACTTTTAATGTGTTGTTTACCAAAAGTAATTTAGACTGAACTTGTATTAAGTTTTTTTCCAATTTGGACTTAATGATTTTATAGTAGTTAATTTAGGTAGGATAAATCAACTAATTAGTTAAATACAAACTTTTAACATTTTCAAAAGCACTTTTAAAATTTATTTATGATAAAAAAAAATATTTTTTGATATAAGTATGTTCTAAAAGTTTAATCAAATTTTATTTAAAAGTTATTTAGACTTTAATGTGCATATTTACTGACACAATTTAGATTGATTTACTTATAAAAAATTCATTTTAGAAAAATCAATTTGATATATACTTTTTAATAAAAGTTGGTTGTAAAGGATCATAAATGTTCATCAAATTTGACTAAACAAATTTAAAGTTATTTGAACTTTAAAATAAGTAGATTCTGCAAATTTTATTGAATAAATTAAAAAGTTATCTAGATTTTTGTGTTTGTTTACTAATACAATTTAGATTGATTTACTTAAAAAAAAAAAGATAGTAAAGGATCATGAATTTTCATTTGTTACCTTAAAATACGAAATTAGAGAATATGAACCTCCACGGAGTAGGGATAATATTTGAATATAATGCACACTATTCATCGTCAAATTTCAGTTATAAAATTATACTTAATCTGTTAATATTATCTTACATTTAATAAATTTATTTTTATTTTTTACATTTGATTTATATATATTAGTCAAATAATATGAATAAGAAGTTATGTGATATGCCTATTGCATTCGGTGCACATTAGGTAAGAGAACCTACTAAATCTTGAGTTTGAAAGGATATCTACAAATATACATGGTGGATATAGCTTAGCAAACATTTTTGAATATATCTTCCAACAAATATATATATATATAACAAAGATTTAGATTCTTTTTTCTTTTTGATATTTAATATATGCTGATTCAAATAAATTACTTCGATCTAGGTCAATTTTCTATAAATATAAACGGCTTAAATATGTCATCGATTTTTGAAAAAAAAAAGAATCAGGACACCTGTTAAATGTTTAGTTTATCTATGTCATTTTCGTTTAAGAATAGTCACATATATGCTATTATTTTGTTAATTGAAATGATATACGTAAGCCAAACTTTTATAGAATATAGAATTATATTCAACAAATATACGTAAGCCAAACTTTTAAAATTCTGAATCCGTCTCCTACCATAGAAAGATGTACTTCATCTTAAAGATTACAAAGGTTTGAGTTATCAAAAAAGAGAAACTAAATTATGTCTATCTTGTGAAAAAAATCCCAGGGTAGCACTCACTAGTCACAACAATTTATGTATATATGTTGAGCTTATTCAATATCAAATCCAACTGTAGAGATCATTTTTCAAGAAACTAAACCAGAATCAACAAACCTATCAAAAGCTAAATTTGTTTGAAATTCCAAAAACCACCATGGAGTTCAAATAAATAGACAAAAGCTTATGACTGGACATACATGGGTTACAATTTAGTACATTTGATTGCAATGAATTTGTGGTCATATCAGGAATAATAAGATTATGAATGAAGTTATTCGATGAAAATGACCTCGATGCTGGATAAGAAGCAAGAAAGATGACTAAAATGATTCGAACATGTGAAGAAGAAATGCACAAACACTTCAGTGTGGAGGTATGAGAAATTGACTATGAATAATTTCATGAGATGTTGAAGAAGTCGAAAAAATATTGGGAAAAGGTGATTAAACAATATATGCCACCCGTGGCGGAGCCAGAATTTTTAATAATGAGTTTCGAAATCTGTAGAAATGGACACACGAAGAAGTCGAAAGAGATTCAACATCTACTATATATTCCTATAAAATTATTTTAGCCAAATAAAAATAATATGATTTTTCGCCGAAGAAAGTTCGGATAAACCCCTAAATATGTAGTGGCTTCGCAACTGCATGACACAGTTTCAAATTACCGAGTACATCATGGACGACATGAATTAGGATGAATTTTTGGTAATAGTAGTCGTAGCTGATTAATTATTTTTTCGACTTGCTTTGAATTATTTTTTTCCTTGAACCAAAAATCTATCGAACAGATTAACAACACCATTTCAAAGAAAACATCAGAAATATCACAAAACTCAAGCTTTGAGAATTATTCAAATCAAAGTAAAAAGAATGGGATAAAGGATATAGTTTTCATAATACACAAAAACTGAATCTTTCTGTCTAACAGACGAAGACTCATGTATAAAAGGGAACTTTTTATCTCCTATGCATCTACCACTTTGCCTTGCCCAAAGTATTCCACATTTACGCAAGGTTCGAGGAGGAAGAGTCACATCCCAGAATGGGGTGTGATGTAGATAGTCAATTCACGGCTCGAACCAGTAACCTACATGTCTCACACAGAGACAACTTCCAATGTTATTCCAAGGTTCCCCTTCAACAAAAAATAACATAACCACATGGGCTAATTTTACCTTCTAATATCTTTCAAAAACTTTTTAAAATAGCTTTGGAATATCCAAGCTAAAAGTAATATCCCTTTCTCCACTTTTTCCAACTCAATGAATTTTGACAAAACAAATAACTAGATATACAATATACAACTTAGCGGAGCTTGACTATGCTTTCCAAAAAAAGAATAAGAAAGCAAATCAAGGTTGCTGTATAAGAAACCTTGATTAGGAGCAAAAGTAAACAATCAAAGTTGCAACTGTACTGGGGCTCTACGCCATACGCTTGAAGAAGGTGGTCCGTTCAAGTCTGTTGCTGCGACAGATTGTTTGATTCCTCTGGTCTTCATAACTCCTGAATTAAGATAGGTTCAAGCTAAGATTCTACCGCACTCAAAGAGCAAAGTTTAGGAAAGAAAGGAAGGTTTATTCAATGATCAATATAATAGAGTATATGGGTCTCAGAGCTTCGGCTCAGTGATGAAAGAATCACAAGTATGTGATCTGTGAGTTGAGGCACATCATGGACTCAAACTCAAAGTTTAGTATTTGAGTTGGGAAAAGGGTAGAGGAGCAGTTCTGAACTGGTGCACCAACTGGAGTTGGATAGAAGCCCACCGGGAATTTCCCAGATATAAAAAAGGCGCACACATAATAGAGATATGGAATTTCACAATATTGAAACACATACAATCCTCATTACAAAGCACTTGTTTATCGCAAATGCAAACCCACACCAATATACCCATCATTTGTCATTGACACATAAAAAGCACAACCCAAAAGTCCAAGAACTCTTTTTCTCCATACTCAACCCAGATAGAGAGACAAGCAGTTATCACGGTGGAAATAATTAACTACCTTAACATATAGGATATTTCTAGCCTCAGGTATTTAACTCTTGGACAAGTATCAGAGTGCAATATGCAACCAAAATATTATCAGCAAAATAAGTAGACACTATGAAGCACACAAACCTTCATTGATGAAGCAGAACTAAATCGTGATTGAGTCTCTGATTTTAGGTGCAAACGATGCTGCTGCTGAATTTGCTTAAAATGCTTCAGCCTAGAACTAAAGTTTATTCCGTTATGCATATCATGTGAACTCTCACTTGGGTTGCCATCCTCAGAGATTTGTAATCCACCTCCGCCGTTGAAAAATGGAATCCCAGACGATGTTCGTGCAACTTTCTCTTCCTTGAAAGAGTATGAAGGAACAGTTTTCAACCGAGTACGAAGAATCTTGAAGGCTGCACTTTGCTACATGAATTGATAAAGAATATCTACATCAGCAAACTTGATATGCAGCTTAATACATATAAGTGGTGCATATAAGAGTGATAATCAGGAATTTTTTTTTTAGATAAACTCTTGTAAAGAGTTCAGTAGTTCACTATGTTACTAACATAAAAACCAACTAATGAGCAAATCCCAGTAGAGAGAAATGACAATAGGCGTTTTTTCCAATTTGCCTCAGCCTTGGTGAGTGGAGATGAGGCGTTACCCAGTACCTTGTTGATGGTAGGTAGCAGGTATCGGTCGAATGATCAAGGTTTTTCCAATTTGAGCCTAAGTCCTAACACCAAAATTGTAATTAAAAAAAAAGGGAAACAACTCACGAAATAATAACCATGACATACTAACTCTTAGGATATAATAATACTAAATGGATTGAATAAATAATGCAACCCGGCGATTGCTTTTTGTCAGTACTCTTAAACATATGATTCAACAGAAACTCAACTTGCACAAGCAAATGCACAACTGCAAACTTTTCCTGGCATGCATCAGAATTGATATGCGGTTGATAGCAATAACCTTCAACTTAAGTTACCAATGGAGAAAATAATCCATAACATACCTGCGGCAACAGCATCAGCAGACCATATAATGCTTTTAATAACCATATGTATCTTCCAGGTTCAAGAAGCTGCAAGAAATAGAGCCACTAAGATACTCCTAAAAGAACTTGTTCGTGAAAAAGAGAGAAACCCAATAAAATTGCTTGTACATCATAACACCACCAACTTCATAAAACAGGTAAAAAGCAGAATACAATAGAGGTTTTTTAAAAATAAATACATAAACAAAAATAATCCAATTTGTCAAATAAATCAACAGCAATAGAAAAAGATATTATATAAAGAGTTAATCTTAGCAACCCTGA